TTCCAAGAAAGGTACCCCCGATCTTAAAAGAAAAAAAAAAAAAAAAAAAAACAAAGACGGCAGTATAATTCATCCTTCTTTGAACAATTTCCTGTTAATTGTAGTAGTGATGATGTATAGTTGGAGTGATTCAAACTATTTAGTCAGAAAATCAAAATAAAAATTTCCAATTGGAGTGAAAATTCATATCCCTGGCCTAGCATTAGTCTTAGCATTTAGCAACCTGATGGTGAAATGTATAACATATGGATAATAATTGATATATTTTTTAATTTAATATATTTTATAATATATTTATTAAAAAATTATTATTTTTAATTTAAATTTAAGATAAAAAAAATTTTTAATTACAAAATTAATGGATGTTAATAAGTGTATTAAATGGAGAGTATATCAATAATTTTTCATAACGTTTTCATTCAACTTGCACCCTTAATCAAGATCTTGGAGAAGAGATTAATCTCAAAATATATAAAAACTTATTTGAAGCATCTTAATTGACTAAAAAAAAGAGTTTTTATAATTTTTACCTTAAAGGATGTATTAATTATATCTTTTTACAATTAATCTGAAAAGAAAAAAAATAGAATTTGGTTTAAAATTTATTAATTATTCAATTAAAATCAATTGCGTGACGCTTGGTGTTAAAAATAATATTTATTTTTACATTTTCTTATCAAAATTACTGTAAAAAATATAATTAATGTATTCTTAAATTATGTTTTTAGGACACATATTACAAAAAAAGAAATGTATTCATTTAACAAAGATCAGCACCCAACATTTGAAAAAAAAGTTAAATTTAAAAACCAAATTCAAATTACTGGTTAGTTAACAAGAAAAAAAGTAAAAATTAAGACATCATGTTACTTTAAATGTTAAGACCTCTTATAAAATTGTACAAATACCTTTAATGAGTTTTTTTTTATGTTAATTTATTAAAACTATTTTAATATTTTCAATATTCTTCGAAACGTCTTGATTTTTCGCCATTTCAATTAATAATAAGCTAATTTTATAATGCGTCGACTTGATACATTGAACAAATCGCCTCTTTTTTCTTTCGTCGTTTTTTCGGAAAGGATGGTGGTCAAACAATAATTAAGATCGAATGGTCCTAGGCCTTGCAACTTTGAAACTATTTCAAATGCAGA